GTTATGTTTCATGTTGTCCTGAAGCTCCCTTAAACTATCCTTGTCTTTTTGAGTCTTTTTTCATTTTGTTGCCCTGACTGGGTATTTCTTTCTACCTTTTCTTCCAGCTTGCTCGTTCGGTTCTCTGCTTTATCTAGTCTGCATTTAATTCCTTCTAGTGTATTTTTCATTTTAGATATTGTATTCTTCATTTCTTCTTGGTTCATATTTATAGTTTCTATGTCCTTTTCATGCTGCTGTAGTTCCCACTATGTACCCTGTAGTTCCCGTAAAGTTCCTTGTAGTTCTCATTGAGTTCCTTGAGCATCCTTATAACCTTAGTTTGAGTGCTGTGTCCGATAGATTGCTTGCCTCAATTTCATTTGACACCCTTTCTGGGGAGTTCCCCTTTCCTTTTGATTGGGAGCTATTTCTTTGTCTCCTCATTTTAGGTGACTCTTTTTGTTTGTTTCTGCATTTCAGTTTGCTCTGCTTTGCCTGCTTGTCTTGGTGGGGTGGACTTCTTTGGTGGGAGTTCTGTGGGACTCAGTGGTACAGTCTCTTTGATCTCCAGGTCTGTATGCTGTAGTGTTGCCCTTTATTCATTTTATATGGGGGTCTCTTGTTGTAGTTGGGCTTTGATTATTGATGGCTCATTCGTTGTTGGCTCCCCTCCTGCAGGCTGACTGAGAGTCACAACCCTGCCAAGTCAAGTATGCTGTTGTACAGGTGCCAGTTAACAAAGCAATGCTACCCAGAAAACCAAATCCACACCAGCAAAAATACCCCCCTACCCCACTGGCAATATCAACAGCAATTGAGCAAAAATTAATAAAGGTGGAGAGAGATTAAGAATATTATAAGATAGGAAAAAGGGAATATGAGATGACTAAAGGAGAGAATAATGATTTTGAGGTCAAAGAAGGAGAAATAATAAGAGTAGGGAACAGAAACAAGGCAAAGAAAGGGAGAAAATAAAATTTAAAACTTAAGTGTAACAGGGAAGGGCAATGGCAAAATGGAGTAAGAAAAGGGAAGTGTATAATGAAATTTGAAATAAAATTAAAAAAATAATGACCCAAAGGGAACAAAATTGTAGAAAAATCACATTTGTCATAATAATGAGAACTGAGATTAATAAAGGCGGAAAGATAATAAGAATATTATTCAAAAGGGAAAAGAGAATATGAGATGTCTACAGTAAAGAAAAATGATTTTGGAAGGATCAAGGGAGAAGAAATATGAGAGTAAGGAATAAAATCTAGGCTAAGAAAGGGGAAAAGAAAAGAAAATTCCAAAGTCAGATAAGCATGGGCAGGAGGAAGGCAAAATGGAGTAAGACAGGGGAAGGTAACCTGTAAGATTTGAAATAAAAGAAAAAATAGTGAATAAATAGGAATGCAGTTGAAGAACAGCAATAACGATAATATCCAGGCCAAACAAGCCACAATTTATAAAGGTGGAAATAAAATAATATTATAAGAAGGGGATAAAGAATGAGAGCTGACTAAAGGAAGGAAGAGTGAATTTGAAAGGATAGAGGGAGGAGAAACAGTAAGAGTATGGAATAGGAATAAGGTGTAGCGTGGGGTAAAAAAGATTTACAGCAAAAATACGAAATAGCCCAAGGAAGACAAAATGGAGTAAGACAAGGGAAGGTTACAGTGTGAGATTTGAAGTAAATATAAAAAATAACATGAAAATCTTGCCCTGGCTGGTGTGGCTCAGAGTTTTGAGTGCTGGTCTGCAAACCAAAGGGTTGCTGGTTTGATTCCCAGACAGGGCATATGCCTGGGTTGCAGGCCAGGTCCCCAACACGGGGTGCTTGAGATGTAACCACACATTTGATGTTTGTCTCCCCCTCTTTCTCCCTCCCTTTCCCTCTCTAAAAATAAATAAAATCTGAAAAAATAATATAAAAATTTAAATAAAAATAAGAAATAAAAGACAAAGAATAGCGATTTAGTTGGAATACAGTTGACCCAAAAAGTCTTAAAAGGCTCTGCAAAAGAAAAAAAAAAATAACACAAATTCTGAAGAGGAACAAGTTGGAATTCGTCTCAGCAGCAGGGGTGTCCAACCTGTGGGCTGCATGTGGCCCAGGATGGCTATGAACATGGCCCAACACAAAATCGTAAATTCAGTTAAAACATTATGAGTTGGCGGGGTGGGGGTGGGGGTGGGGGGGTCTCTCTCTCTCTCTCTCTCTCTCTCTCTCTATCACGCGCGAGCACGCGCACGCTTCCAGTGTGGCCCAGAGACTGCCAAAAGGTTGAATACTTCTTCAGCAGAGTTTGGTGTTTGCCTTCTGTCTTCTCTTCCTGGGTCCACCTCTGGTTTAATCATCTGAAGGTCCTGAAGTGGTTTGTCCAACTTTTGGCAGCACTGCCTGTATCACCTTCACCCACCCTCTAAAGGGAGCTTCTATTTCCATTGTGATGGTGGGGCCCCTGGGTCTCCCCTGGGAGGAACTATTCAGTCCTGTGGGAAATTCGTGGGTGTGTTCTTCCTGCCCCTGAACCACTCCTCTTGGTTTGTCTTAGCTTATTTCCAATAGTATATAGTTTCTGCTGAATTAACTATTTGTTTCAAGGGAGGAGCCCAGTCTGTGTAAGAGGGTCAGCTCTTTCCCGCCAGGTGCTGAGGGCAGCTCTATGTTCTAACTAAGGCTAGGTGGGACCCTGATTCTCCCTTGAGATTTCTGATCTCCCTGCCTGCCTATTTAGTGGAATAGGGCCGTAGGAACCAGTGTATTTTGTCTCTCTGAGTTTCTTTCTGTCTTTCTCTTGCATATGTATACCCTGCAGGGGGGTCTTGAGCCTTTTCCTGCATGCCATCCTGCAGGAGGGTGGGGGGAGGGGGGTGCTGGGTGCATCCTTCTTTCCCAGGAGGTTCGATTCCCCAACCCCTGGGGAAGGCGTCTTTGGCTGTAATATAACCTCAGGTGCTGCACTCCCGCCTGCCTTGTTTCCAGCCCCCAGCTGATGGCCCTTGTAGCAGACTTAGTCCTGAATTCTCCACTCTGCCCAGCCTCTAGCTGCGCTGGGGCCGAGAAATCCCCTTGCTGTGCACCTTTCTGCTTTCTCTCTCTGTCCATCTGCACTCAGTGGGAGCAAACTGTGCCCTCAGCCCTTTCCCCTTGCTGGCAGGGTGGCTGCGCATCGGGATCCCTGTCCAGCATGCCTCAGCTCCCCTTTTAAAAAGCTTCTCCAGGCATTCCCACTGAATCATTGTCTGGCTTTCCTCACACACCACCTCTCCAAAGGGCCGAAAGTCTCTCACATTCATGACTGGCTGCAGCCTGTCTGCCCGACTCAGGTGCAGGTAGAATCCCTCTCTCTCTGGCGCTCTCCTGGTTGATGTTTGCTGCTGCAGCTGTGGGTGTGCTGCTCGCTGTGTGTGTGCAGCCTGGGTCTCCCCTACTTTATGTATCCATGTCACTTTTGGGCTGGGGGTAGGGGGAGCAACAGAGCTGTGATCTCTAACCAGGGTCTCTGATGCCCAGACACCACTCCTGGGGTGCTCCCCCTTCAACCTATAAAATCTCCTTACTGTGCTTAGGGAAGCGTCTTATGTACTTCTTGACTTCCAATCCACTAAGAACCTGTTGAATGATCAGTTTATTTTTTTGAAGATCAGCCAAATTGGGTATAAGAGCAAGTGGACACTCATCTTTCACCTACTTGGCTGCCATCTTCTCTCTCCCATTTTCTGTGACTTTTCATTCTACTAACATGAGCACAGAATTTTTTTTTGTTTTTGTTTTCCATATTGAAATATAATCTGCATATAGTGAAATACATGTATCTTAAATGTTCAGAGTGGTAAGTTTTGACAAATTCTCTGTAACCCCTCTTACAATCAAATTATAGAACACTTCCACCATCCAAAAAAGTTTTCTTGTCTCTTTCCCAGTCAGTCCTCATCCCCTCCCATTGTCCAAATCCTCAGGGTGCTGTTGATCTCATATAGTTTTGTGCATTCTAAACCTTAAATTGCATAAAATGTAGTGTTTGTTTGTTTGTTTGTTTGTTTTTGACTTGGTTTAATTCACTCAGCACAGTTTTTGAGATTCATCCATGTTACTGACTGTATCGGTATTTCTGATTGCTTCACTTTCTTGCCAATTTTGGGTGATGCCATCCTTTTACATTTTAGTGGGTATATAATATGTAAGCATAGTTTTGATCATAGTGAATATGTGATTTCTCTCCTATTCCAATTGTTTGAATATTACCTGAATGATATTTTCTGATATTTTGTCATAAGACATTATATTAGTAAATATTGTGGTTTGAATATTTCCTTTGGATGGCCAGTCCTTTGTACTATTGTATATTAACTGAGAATCATAAAGCTGAAAGTGCATTTAAAGATCACTTAATAGAAAATCCTCATTTTATAGGTGAGTGAACCACTTGAAATTTAAGTGACTAGGTAGTGTCGAATGTAGGTAAATTGATTTTGACTTAATGTTTTCAAATTGAATTTGATCTAATGCCCTTTTTCTTATTGTTTTTGAAGTTGTATTTTATTTTCTTTGTAATAATGGCTAGTTAATCTGTACCTTTTGTTTTACACTGTTTTCAGAAAGTGCTTGGTATCGATGAGTTAGACAAGGGAAAATAATTTAAAGTGGCTTCATTCATTTAATTTCCCCCTTTTTAAAAAAAATATTTATTTATTTTTTGGACAGAGGGAAAAGGAGGGAGAAATAGAGAAACACCAGTGTGTTGTTGCCTCTTGCGCATCCCCCACGGGGACCTGGCCCTCAGGCTGGCACTCAGTCCACTGAGCCACACTAGCCAGGGCATAATTTACCCCTTTCTGTAGCACTCTTTTTTTTTTGGCCCCTATGCTTGAAGAAATAAGACCAGAAGAGACAAAAGTAGAAAGGTGGGAGTAAGTCTCAGAAACTTGCAGTTGAGGATGTCATAATGAGTCCTTTTAACTTGTTTCTTCCCATCTGAGTTTCAGAATGAATTGAATCCTGTTCTTTATTTCTGCCTTAATGTCCCTAGGTATGCTGGTGCCTTGAGAGCTTCAGGGGAAATGGCATCAGCACAGTACATTACTGCAGGTGAGTGTCCTAAAAATACATACTTTTCAATAGAGAGCATAGTATTCACTAAGTGTTATTTTTCACTCATAGTTTGTTAGTACCTTTCAATTTGTAAAATGTTTTGTAAAACATCACCCCATTAAAATTGGACTGCTTACTGTAAACTACTTAGGACTTATTTTATTATCCAAGTTAGAAACCAGGGATGTGTGTCCTTTTTGATAAATAATATTTGCGTTAAATTATAATTTTGACCTTAGGTTGTATTAGTAAAATATGTTTGGGGATATCCAGAGATAGGTTTTATTATAGTTGATGAAATCATTAATAAAAGAAAGTTAGTGGGTATTAGTGTAAGAAAGTGGTGTGTGAGGAATGAGGAGAAATAGAAATTCTTAAAAGGATAGAAATAACTTATTTCTTCATTATGTGAGACCATGTATCCCGCTGTCTCATTTTGGGACATTTTGACAAAATGAGTACTCTCTTAAATCATGGGGCTAGGCTGATAGGGATTTTACAGGTATTCTTTTGTTCGTTTTTTGTAGTAGCTTTATTGAGATACCCGTATATCATATACTTCACTTGTTTAAAGTGTAGACAGTTCACTGTCTTTTTAGTATATTCATAGACTTATGCAACCATCACCAAAATCAATTTTAGAGTATTTTGAGCATTCCAGAAAGAAACTCTGTAACTTGGAGCGGTCACCTTGTGTTCTCTTCACCACTTCCAGTCCCATGCGACCACTAAGGAGCTGTCAGCCTCTAAAGATTTGTCTATTCTGGACTTTGGGGATAAATGGCATTATGCAATTCGTGGTCTTTGACTGGCTTCTTTTCACTTAGAATGTTTTCAGGGTTCATTCACATCATAGCATGTACCAGAACTTCATTCCTTTTTATTGCTGAATAAGATTCTGTTGATAGGACATACCACATTTCATTTTTGCTTTCATCATTGAAAGACATTTAGGTGGTTTCTACTTTTTGACTGTTACACGTACTGCTGCATGTTTTGTGTACAAGTCTTTGTGTGGACATATGTTGTCATTTCTCTTGGGTAAATCTCTAGGAGTGGAATTGCTGGGTTATATGGTAACTATATTTAACCTTTTGAGGAATTGCCAGGCTATTTTCCAAAGCAGCAGCTCATTTTACATTCCTTCTAGCATGTATGAGTGTTCCAGTTTCTCAATATTCTTGATATCTCAATAATGCTTAAAATGTTTTGTCCATGATTGTAGCTGTTCTAGGGATCAGAAGTAGTATCTTATTGTGGTCATCCACTTATTTTTAATACTTTAAACAGCTTCTTTGTGTCATTTGGAGTTAGATTTCCTCTAATCTTTTTTCCTAAAAGTAGGTTTATTTTTTTGAAGTGAAGTTTTTAATGAGAAAATGTGATCATTTATATCTGGTTCTTTTTTTTTTTTTCTTCTTTTTTGTATCTAAGAGTAACTCAGATTTTTCAACTTTTCCAGTGGCATATAGAAGGCTTGTAGTATTGATGGATGAAGAATAGTCATTTTTTGCTTCTTGACTTTTTAACTTTTTGTATTTTTTATTTTTTTAAACATTTAAAAAAACTGATTTTTAGGGAGAGAGAATGCATAGATTATTCCACTGATCTATGCATTCATTGTTTGCTTCTTGTATGTGCCCTGCCCGGAGATCAAACCTAAACCTTGGTTTATTGGGAGGGCATTCTAAACAACTGAGCCAGGGCTAGACTTTTTTTATTTTGAACTGAATTTAAATTTACAGAAAAGTTCCAGGAATTCACCAATTACACTTTTTTTTTTTTTTGTCATGTCTGGTTCATCACTCTCTGTAATGCATATTCTATTTTTCTGAACCATTTGAGAGTAAGTCGCACATGTCATGTCTTTTATTTCTGAATACGTCAGTATGTATTTCTTAAGAATTAGGATGTTCATAACTGCAGGATGATTTTTTTTTAAAGATTTATTTATTTATTTTCAAAGACGGGGGAAGGGAGGAAGAAACAGAGGGACAGACACATCAATGTGTGGCTGCCTCTCACCCACCCTCAACTGGGGACCTGCCTGGTCTGCAACCCAGGAATTGAACCGGTGACCCCCTTGTTCACAGGCCGGTGTTCAGCCCACTGAACCACACCAGCCAGGGCCACAGAATGATTTTTTAAATCTGGGAATTTAACAGTGATATAGCACTCTAAAATACAGATGTTACTTATTTATTTTTAATCCTCATCTGAGGACAGACTATTTAGATTTTGACAGTTGACCCAATGTTGCCCATTGTAATGTTTTTCTTTTTTGCTTCAGGGGCCATTAGGATCACAGATTGCATTTAGTTGTTGTCATGTCTCATTAGTCTCTTAATATGTAGTGTGTTTCTGACCTTTTTTAAAACTAATAAAATACTGTGAGATGGTGTGCTCATGGTATATATTAAATAATCTTATACCATTTTTTGAGTATTGTACACTTTAAAGTATTATTATAATTTAGGCAATTTAGGCTTTAATATTTTACAAATAATTAGCTTGGTGTAGTGATGGTTAAATTTCAGCTTCCCCAAAATATTTTATAAACATTGTATTTAGTTGATTTATTCAGGAACATTTTATTGAGCACTTGCTGTGTGCTGAAATGTAGTATTTTCTGGGTTTCAGTCTGTATAACAATAATAGATAACATTTCACATTTTAGTTAACAAGACAAGTCAAGATAAGCTAGATTAAAGTTTTGTTGTACATGAAATAAGGGCAAGCTGTTATGGCTAAGAAGTCAGCAAAGGAAAAGTATTCTCGCCTCCAGAAGCCAGGGCTGAGTCTGTGACCATGGGACTTACGATGCTGAGTGGGGATAAAGAGAGGGCAAATTCGTCTTGGTTCTTAGCTGTTCAGTAGAATCAGGAATGTGTTTAAAGAGCCAGATTTCCATATTCAGGAATTCAGAAGATGGGAACAAAGTAAAGGAAAGTTGGTTTTGAGTGGTGACCCGATGGCCTGGTAACAGCAGAGGGGCAGAATAGCAACAATTAGACCTGCTCGATCTATTGGCAGAGGGTCTATGTTCTTTATATTGAATTAATATCCCTGCTTCGTTTGGGATGACAACGATTGACAAAGAGAGAGATGGTTATTAGGGCTCAGAAGTTGTTTATAGCTAGTGATTGCATTATAAAGTTTGATGAGTTCCTTAAGTTTCACACACACATTTTTCTTACTAAGAATCCAGCAATTACAAAAGGAATAAATGTATAAAAAATGGTTATTAAGCAGTTTTTTGTTTCTAGTAATTGGGATTTAACTTATAGTAGTATGTATTAAATATGGCACTGTTTTACTAAGGTACTGTTTACTTTGTTTTTAAGCCCTTAGAGATTTGTTTGATTCCATGGATAAAACGTCTTCTAGTATTCCACCTATTATTCTACTGCAGTTTTTGCACATGGCTTTTCCACAGTTTGCAGAGAAAGGTGAACAAGGACAGTATCTTCAACAGGTAACCAGGGCAAGGTTCTTGGTTTTCATTTTGTAAATGTGACAGTTAGGTTTTCTATACTTACCATACTTATTGGAGTATATTTGGAAATACAAGTATCAGTCCTCTCTAGCTCAAACCACTGTTATGTCTTGCTTGGAGTGGTGCAATAGTCCGTTAGCTGATCATCTTGCTCTGCTTTTGTTTCTTTGCAGTGTTTCTCTATGTGGCCCCTAGACTCCTTTTAAAATATAAATAAGATTACGGTGGTCCCTATTCATTACTTCTAGTGATTTTCTATCCCTAAATAATTTAAATCCTAAATAATCTAGCCTCTGTCTATGTTTCTGAATTCATCGTGTGCCACTGTTCTCCTTGCTCACTTCTCTCCAGATATTGGCTTCCTTGCTATTTTTTAAACCCTCCAAAAATCTTCTTTCTGCAAGGTCTTTGCCTTTTTTTTTTTTTTAATTTTGAGAGTCCATTTATTATAGCTAGGGACAGTGAAACAAGGAAGGGTCCAGGACAGAAGCAGCAAGAGATGGAGGTGCCTAGGTTCTCTAGGTTCATAGGAAAGAAGTGAGCAGTGGCTGGGCTGCTTTCAGCTCACTGGAAAGTCAGAGAAAAGGGGGCCTTGGAGAGAGGTTCGAGGGGTTAGCCAAGGACGAGCTGCCATTGCCCATTGCTCCCCTGCTTGCAAGTCTCATGGGGACCCTTAGAGTTCAGGAGAAAGAAAATTCACTTGAAAAGGAGACTTGAGTGGATGTGCCCCAAGGAGAGCACCCAGAGTCATTGCTCTTGTTCCTTTGGCTCTTAGTACATGACTCTCCTCCCTACAGGTCTCATGGCTCATATGCCAAGGCATCAGAGAGACTTTCCTTGATTATCCTATTGAAATAGCACGCTTTTCCTTACCCCAGTCACTCTCTGTTCCTGTATCTCCTTCTTTCCCCCTTTATGACCCTTCTCTTTACTTGAATTGATGTTATATTTTGTGTATCTAGGTTTCTCATTAGGACATTTCGCTTTTGTTTACTGCTATGTATTCTTAGTGTCCAGAACAGTGTTTAACATAATCAGGAGCTCAGAAACATCTCTTTTTTTTTTTTAATTGAATTTATCGGGGTAACATTGGTTAATAAAATTATATAGATTTCAAATATACAGTTCTACCATAAAAACATATCTTGAATGAATGACAAACTAGTTTGGAATTTCTTTGTTGTTTTGAAAATCATAAAAGATTGACATTGGCTTAATATTTTTAAAGAGAAAAATTAGCTCTCTTCTCCTTCCTTAAGGACACTAATTATTTTGGAAGGATTCTGTAGACCAAACACTGTCACAGCCAGGATTATTTACTGTGTCATTTTTAAAATTACAGGATGCTAATGAATGTTGGATACAAATGATGCGAGTACTGCAACAGAAATTGGAAGCCATAGAGGATGATTCTGTTAAAGAGGTAATTGAAATATATTTGTGATTATTAATTTTCAGTGTACTTTGATTCATCCCCACCCCAAAGGCCTGAGATATATTCATCTTGATAGGCATGTACTTTCGTACTTTCGATGTACAATCTGTAGTTGGAATTTGAAAGCTTGCATTTGACACGAATTAATGTATTTTTATTAAACCTAATTGATATTATTGAGCATCTGTAGTATTTTTGTAATGCTTTTTGAAAAGTAGAAGGATTTTTCAGACAGGGATTACATTTTAAAAAGCTTAAATATGTTTTACTAAACTAGATTGTGTGGGAGGAAATATATAACTACATAATGTAAAATAGGAATTTTTATTTTATTTTAATTTTTGCAGACAGACTCTTCATCTGCATCAGCAGTGACACCTTCTAAAAAGAAAAGTTTAATTGATCAGTTCTTCGGAGTTGAGTTTGAAACTACGTATCTTTATGAGCCAAGATAATGGATAAACTACTCATAACTTACTAGAAGTTTATGAAGTGAATTGGTATAAATAGTATTGACTGATTGGAATGTTGGGTGGGATTTGAAGAAATATTCCTCAGAGGTTTTTATGTCTAAACAATATCATAGAAATTCAAAATTTGGAAAAATATACCCATTGTAGTGATCTTGAAATTTAGTTAAATCTATACTTCAAAGATATTCATTAGTTTTTCCTAAGAACATCTTTAGCAGAGTCCACTTCATTAATTGGCCTCATAGAGAATTAATTTTTAATTGTATGAAATGGAGTGCATCAGTTAAATACATGAGATTGAACCAGTTTATAAAACATGAATTTAGGGAAGTGTTATTTTCTTGGTGATGGATAGAAACTTACAAAAGATTTCTCTTTATGTATCTTTGGATTATTAGCATTTTAAGACCATATAAATAGCAAGTTATATTTGTTTACTCTTTACTCTTTTCATACATTCATTGCTCAGTATTGTTGGTAAGTGAATAAGCATTTTTAAACATGTTGAAATAAATCTGTTGGAAGACCAAAATGTTTTAAGTACTAAAGAATGATACTGCTAATTTTAATAGCATTCAAATAGCATTATTTTAATAGCAATAATAAATTGATTCTCCGTTAGCCTATTCCTTATCTTCTTTTCACGAAAGCATGAAATGTACAGAATCTGAAGAAGAAGAAGTCACTAAAGGAAAGGAAAGTCAGCTTCAGCTTAGCTGTTTCATCAATCAAGAAGTCAAGTATCTTTTTACAGGACTTAAATTGGTAAGAACAATTAGAGTGGATCCTCTTTATTTGTGGATTCCTTATTTGCGAATGCACCTACTTACTAAAATTTATTTGTAACCCAACATCAACACTTGTGTTTTCACAGTCATTTTTAAGAGATGCTTAGTGTGGCAAAAATTTATTTTATTTTTATCCTCATCCGAGGATATGTTTTTTGATTTTTAGAGAGAAAGGAAGTGGGGAGTCGGGGGCAGAGAGAGAGAAAGGAATATCGATGTGAGAGAGAAACACTGATTGGTTACCTCCCATGATTGACCCCAAAACCTAAGTATGTGCCCTGACTGGGAATTGAATCCGAAGCCTCTTGGTATGCAGGACAATGCTCAAACAACTGAGCCACCCAGCCAGGGCTCCTGTGGCAAAAATTTTGAGTCATCTGGCACACAGTATCTCACCTGAGGTTCAGTAAGGTGATGCTCTGACTTGTTTCAACTCTCATACTATAAACAAATGTCCTTTTTGCAGTCATTTTATAGTGCCACATTTTTGCATTTTTGTGCCTGTTGATTTTGCTTTTTAAAATGGCCTTCAGGTATAGTGCTGAAGTGCAGATGTTTTAAGTGCAAGAGGGCTGTGACATACCTTAAGGAGAAAATTGAGTTTCTAAGATAAGTTTTGTTCTTAAGGGTGTTCTAGTGTAGTTATGTGTGAATACCATGTTAATGAATAACAGTGTATATTAAGTAAGGTGTTACAGAGAAACACCCAAAAAACCAGGTTGTGTGATTGATTGACAAAAGTGTGGCTGGAGACTAGCAGGAGGGCTCTGAGTGTATAATAATAGGGGTATGTTAATAATTCTGAGGTATAAACTGGGATTGTACTGTGCAGATCAGGCCATGTAGTCATTCTGCCTGCACTAGTATTGCAGTTGCAGCTCTAGAACTTAAGTGACTTAATTTGGTTTGCGGCAGAGCCAGATCTAGAACTTGCTTCTCTCATTATTCAGTTAGTACTCTTTGCCTAGTCACACAGTAAAGAATGCACGATAATAAGTAGACTATAATGGATTTGCTTGCCAATTTATTAATTTGATGTGATTGGGGGAATATGCACATCCTTTTGAAGGATAGACAGTGAATTGGGGTGAGAATTACATTGATATACAAGATAATTTGTTGTCTGAGGAGTAGAAAGGCAGACATAATCATTAAGATGTGTATAATGGCCAGAGGGATTCCTACCTACATTGGCTAGATTAACAGAGGTTTTTTTGTCATGACTTTTCTCAAATTTAACAATAATTGATTGATTCTGGATGGCTTTTATACACGAAGTGTAAAGAACAAGGATTTCTTGCATTCCCTTAATTTTTCTGTAATATGAATATTCTAATAAACTGTAAGTAGGGAATACCATAAAAGGCTACCTTATGTTATATAAAATGCAGTATAGACTCCCAGAATCTTGAGTCACATTTGGGTCATAATTTAAAACTTTAAACATTTATGTTTATATTCCAACAAGTTCACACCAGTGTAAATTTTTTGATGCTTTCTGATGCCTTTTGAAAACTTAACCATAGGTCTGACTAGTGTGGCTCTGTTGGTTGGGCTTTGTTGCATAAAGCAAAAGGTCATCAGTTTGATTCCTGGTCAAGGCATATGCCTGGGTTGTGGGTTTGGTCCCAAGTCAGAGTGCACGCGAGAGGCGACCGATTGGTTTCTCACATCCTTTTTCTCCATCTTTCTCCTTCCCTTCCCCTCTCTCTGAAAATAAATAAAATATTTATTAAATCTAAATCCATTGTACATCAATGGTATAAATCCAGAAAGTATCTAGCCATGTACTATGAAAAATAGAGACATTTACTGAAGAAGATACAAGATAGAAGAAACATTGTCCATAGGACATTGACACCTCAGTCCCCTTCAAAGTAGGCACCTTGGGACCTCACACAGTTCTCTCTGTGTATCTTCCACTCTTCAAAACACTGCAAAGTACTTTGTTGGAATTGCCATCAGCTTCCCAGTCATATTTTCCTGAATCTCATCAACAGTCTGAAATTTCTTCCCTTTCGAAGGTGATTTTGGTTTTGGGAAAAGCCAGAAGTTGCAGGGTGCCAAATCTGGGCTGTTGGAGGGCTGAGTCACCTGGGTGATTTGATATTTTGCCAAAATACTCTGCGTGAGATGTGATGCATAAGCAGGCACGTTGTTGTGATGAAGCTGCTAATCACCAGTTGCCCATAGCTGCAGCTGTTTTCATCATATTGCAGCTCTCAACCTATGAAGAACATTGAGGTAGTACTCCTTATTGTTTGGCCTGGAGGGGCATAGTCATGATGGACAACACTTCTCGATCAGAAAACACAGTTAACGTGGCTTGGGTCTTGCTGCAACTTAGCCTTGCCTTCCTTGGTGGTGAAGAACCAGGCGACTTCCATTGGGACCCCCGGGCCTTCGTTTTTGGGTCATAGCCATAGACCCACACCATTCGTCTGGTTATGACCTTCTTGAAGAAATCAGGTTCATTGGAAGTGGTTTGAATCAGGTTATTAGCAACTGCAGCATAGTGTTCCTTTGCTCTGGTAGCAGAAGCCCTGGAACAGATTTCACCACAGTGGGTCTCATGCCAAGATCCTGTGTCAAAATCTTGGACACAATAGTTTTTGCAATTCCCAGATCAGCTTCTAGTTCTAGTACTGTCAGTCACTGATCTTTGTTGACTGTGGCCCACGTTCAACATTCTCAAGTGTACTGCTTGTTGGAGGCCTTCATATCGTGGATCACTTTGAACAGATTCGCGACCATCTTTGAAGCATTTGTGCCACACTTTTATTTGTGTTGCACTCATTGCACGATCCCCAGAAGCCTTCTGAATTATCTGAATAGTTTCTGCGGAGGAATGTTCAAGCTTAATGCAGAATTTGATGCAGATTCCTTTCTCTACTTACCCAGTCATTTTGAATGCGATAGCCATACAGTACACATTCTCAATGGTGTCTACCACTCCCACTGACTAGTACAGCAAAGTTGTCACTGTTCATGTGTGCACATTCCAGTCCACTCTCGGCTGCCTGGTTACATTGACATCATGCAAACTGTTCTCCTTATATTCACAGTGGCTGGATTTTCCGGACAGACCTTGTACATTGTCTATTAAGTAGTGCTAATTTTTAAAAGAATTAAAGGTGTGATTCTATATTGTGGGAGAAAAAAATTTTTAAACTATTGTTTGGTCTTCTGTTATGTTCTTTTTTAGCGACTTCAGGAAGAAATCACCAAACAGTCTCCAACATTGCAAAGAAATGCTTTGTATATGAAATCAGTAAGTTGTGCATTGTTTTTGAAACTGAATTCCATTTTGTTAAAAGTTTTTCAGTTAATTGATGTTGCCCAGTCTTTATTTTAACTAAACCAAGGAATTAAAAACTTGGTGCTATTTTCATGTAATAGGATTTCTTTGTATTTTTTCTCCTCAGTCCAAGATAAGCCGACTGCCTGCTTACTTGACTATTCAGATGGTTCGATTTTTCTATAAAGAGAAAGAGTCTGTGAATGCTAAAGTCCTCAAGGTTAGTAGTGAACCTTTTCTTTTTTATTGATTTTTAGAGAGAAACATTGATTTATTGTTCTACCTATATGTGCATCCATTGGTTGATTCTTGTGTGGACCCTGTCCAGGGAGGGATTGAACCTGCAACCTTGGTGTATTGGGATGATGCTCTAACTATCTGAATTATCTGGCCAAGGGAGTAATGATTTTATTAGTGTAATAAAAGATTATTCTTTGAAGATAATCCCTAACTTACAGTAGATTTTTTTATTCTTTTAGAGATAATTCAATTTTTTTTGAAATACTATAAATTGGAAAGCTGTTTAACATTAGACTATTGGTTGTTAACCAAGGTGTGTATTGGAATAATCCATCTTTTTATTTTAAATTTATGTACGTGCCTGGCTTCTCCAGATTCTGAATAAGTCAGGCCTGAGGTGGTATATTTTTGAAAAGATTTACAGATAATTCTCACGGATGTCCTCTAGTCCTCAGAAACATTGCCGTAGATCAGATCCTCAACTCCAGCATAATACACTGCACTCTGTTCTAGGCAGTTTTTTCTTCCTGGTGAAAGGAATGTTACATTATTGGTACCCAAAGAATGCCTAAATTGTAGTCTGTTGATGTAGGAGCCAGCCTTATGATGTAGCTGTTGTATTGAACTGTAGCTCTGCTACATATCCAGTGCCCCAGATCCTTGGGAAAGGTATATACAGTTTTAGTCTATTGAGCTGAAATTCATAATATGTTTTCAGATATACTTAGCGTTATATTAGAAGTTTAACTGTAGTTGAAGCATCTACTGGTGTAAACTTCATATATTAATATTAGTTATTGAATTATATATCACTATTGTTTCTATGTAAAATTGAATTTCAAATTATAGTCAAAAGTGACCCCATTTGTAAGTTGACATCATTGCTGGTTTTAGGTCTTCATTATTTTCACAGCAACTGGTCTAATATTTCTAAAATGTTTCTTTGTCACATGAATTTTGGTAACTGCTCTGTGGTCAGTTTCATGGGTTAAAATGTTTAATGGAAAAAAAAGTTAAAAATTTTTCTTACCTTAAAGTTAGGACCAGATTGAAAATAAGCACTATGATGTTTTCAACTGCATAGATTTCTAAGCGATTTACGGATTTCATTTTCAATTTTATTTGAATTATGAAAACATTAAAACTGTGATAGAGCCCTGGCTGGTATGGCTCAGTGTGAGTGCTGGCCTGTGAAGCAAAAGGGTGCCGGTTCTCTTCCCAGTCAGGGCACATGCCTGGGTTGCAGGCCAAATCCCCAGACTGGGGGTGTGCAATAGGCAATTGATCAATATATCTCTTGCATGTGGATGTTTCTTTCCCTCTCTTTCTCCCTCCTTTCTCCTCTCTTTAAAAATAAATAAATAACTTTTAAAAATTAACATAAAAAGTATGATATTTTAAATAACTACCTTTGTAAGTCTGTTTACACATTATTTTTCTTTGACTTGTATATAGGATGTTAAGTTTCCTCTTATGTTGGATATGTATGAACTATGTACACCAGAACTTCAAGAGAAAATGATCTCTTATCGATCAAAATTCAAGGATCTGGAAGATAAAAAAGTGAATCAGCAGACAAAGACAGTAGGTTCTTATTGCTGATATTTTAATTTTAACCTTTTAATCTTTAATCCTCAACAGCTATATTGTTAATCTACTGTAAAAACGGATGAATGTATATTTTATTTAGCTGATATACAAATCCAGCATATTGGTGCAAACCTTTAAAGTTTTAGCTGTATTTTAGCATAAGAAAAAGAACTCTAGCTATGGTAAGGCTCCTTTATAATAGAATAAGCTTGATATTTTCTTTTCTCTTATAGTCTGTCCCTCTTACTCCTTTTCTATTTATCTACTCAAAGCACTTCATATAAAATCTTGTGTACTATTGTCAGTGTATTTTGTTATTTTCCTTGGAAGACATGGAGTTTATCTCCATTTTTCAGATGGAAGCAGTGGTACAGAATATTGATTCATTTATGTCCACTGAGACAGCTAAGTTGTATCTTTAAGTGCAGCTTGTATGCCTGTAACTCCTAAAATTACAACCATATCAACTTTATATTTAACAGATTGTATTATTTTGGGTTCAGATAAAGTACAACTAAAATATGGTGATTTTTTTTTTTTTTTTGAAAATGAAAAAGATATTTCCTGGTAACAGATTTTTTAGTGTGTTGTATCACATTTTAAATTCTGCATATTACCATTTGTGTGTGTGTAAAGCAGTTTTTTAAAGTTAAAACTTTATTCTGAGATAATTGTAGAATTACAGTTATAAGAAATAAATCACATGCAGTTATAAGAAATAACACAAAGAGATCCTGAGTACCTTTAACCCATTTTCCCCTGGTGGTAATATCTTGAAAAATTACTGTGCAATATCACAACCAAAATATTAACATTGATGCAGTCTAGACACAGTCTATTTCTGTCACCACAGAGAACATGTATTTCTATCACCACAAAGAACGTGTTGCTGCTTTGTAGCCAAACCGACTTTCCTTTTGCCCCTGCCCGCTCCTTAATTCCTAGCAACCACTAACCTGTTCTCCATTTCTATAATTTTTTCATTTAAGAAAGTTATATAAATGGAATCATATATTATGTAATCTTTGGGATTGACCTTTCTCATCATAATTCTCTGGAGATTAATTCAGGTGGTTTCATATAGCAGTAGTTTCTTCTTTTTTATTGCTGAGTAGTATTTCATGTAGACGTGGATATACCGGTTTGCTTAACCATTCACCCATTGAAGGGCAGCTGGATTGTTTCCAGTTTTTGTCTGTTATAAATAAATCTACTGTAGCATTGATGTACCAGTTTTACTGTAAACCTAAGTTTTCATTTATTTGGAATAAATGCCCAGGAATGTAATTTCTAGATTGCATGGTAGTTGTGTATTTAGTTTTTTTTAAGAAATTGTCAAATGTTTTCTGTAGTGGCTATACCAGTTTAGGTTTTCATCAGCGGTACACAATTATTCCCCCTTTCCTGCATTGAATTTGGTGGTGTCACTTTTTTTTTTTTTTAGCTATTTGAATTGGTTTGCAGTGATATCTCATTGTGGTTTTAATTTGCATTTCCCTGATGGCTACTAACGTTGAACATATTTTCATCTATTTAGCTGTATACCCATCCTCTCTGGTGAAATGTCTCTTCATGTCTTCTACCCATTTTCAAATTCTGTGTTTTTTTATTCTTGAGTTTTGAGAGTTCTTTATATTCTAGATTCTACTCCTTTTTCATATATATAGTTGCCAAATATTTTCTCCCGGCCTGTAGTTTTCTCTTTTCATCCTCTTAACAGTGTATTTTGCAGAGGGAAAGTTTTTAATTTTTATGCAATTAAATCAATTTTTTCTTTGGTTGCTTTTGTTTTTGGTGTCACATCTAAGAATCCATTGCCTAGTCAAAGGCCATGAAGAAATATGTCTATGTTTCTTCTAAAATTTTTATAGTTTTAGTTTTCCCATTTAGGTCTTTGATCCATTCTGGATTAATTTTTGTGTATGGGATGAAGTACAGGTCCAGATTCATTCTATTACATGTGAATATCCAGTTGTCCCAACACTATTTGTTGAAAAGACTGTTCTTTGCCCATTGAATGGTCCTGAAACCCTTGTAGAGAGTCAGCTGGTCGAAGATGTATATTTCTGAATTCTTAGTTTTATTCCATTGGTCTCTATGTCCTTTTGCTAGTTACCACAGTCTTCGTTAGTGTAGTTTTGTAGTAAGGAGTATAGGAAATTATGGGCCTTCCAACTTTGTTCTTTTCAAGATTGTTTTGGCTTTTCTGAAGCCCATGTATTTCCATATTTATTTTAGGATCATATTGTCCATTTCTTCAAAAATGCAATTGGAGTTTTTGATAGGGATTGCATTGAATCTAGATCAATTTGGGGAGTCTTGCCATTTTTTAAAATTAAAAAAAAAGTTGTATTTTGTTTTTTAGAGAGAAGGGAAAGGAGGAAGAAAGAGTGAGAGAAACATTGATCATTTGCCTCTCGCACACCCCGAACCGGGACCTGGCCTGCAACCCAGGCATGTGTCCTAACTGGGAATTGAACCCGTGACCTTTTGGTTTGCAGGATGATACCCAGCCCACTGAGCTATGCCAGTCAGTGTGGGGATTCTCCCAGTTTTAATAGTATTAAGTCTTGAAATCCATGAATTTGATAGGCTTGTTTATTTAGGCCTATTAATTTTTTCAACAATGTTTTATAGATTTTAGCGTACAAGTCTTCTACTTTGGTTAAATTTATTCCTAAGTATATTTTTTTTCTTGATGCTTTTATAAATGGCATTGCTTTCTTAATTTCATTTTTGGGTTATTCATTTTTGATCTTGTATTTTCTACTTTGCTGTACTATTTATTAGCTGTTGTTTTCATTTTTCTTTTTGGAAAGAGATTGGGCAGAATTGGTGTAACCTTCTTCCAGTGTTTGGTAGAACTGTAGTGAAACAATGTGGGCCAGGAGATTGCTTTCTCAGTTTTTAAATTGCAAATTTCAGCCTTCTTTATAATTATGGGCTGTTCACATCATCTTTTTTATATTTTGTGTTTTTATGGACTTTATATTTAATCTTGCATATCAATTTTATGTATGGGATTGTCTCTAGAATTCATTTTATTATTCTTTTGATAATCTGCTGGTTGTGTAGTGCTCTCTCCCCCATTCCAATGCTGATATTGGTCATTTTATTTCCTTTTTCAGTTTTGCTAGAGGATTGTTAATTTTAGTGATCTTTCAGAGAACTGGCTCTTTGTTTCATTGATTTTTTTTCTATTTTTCTTGTGTCTAATCTTATAATTTCTACTCTTATTCCTTTCTTTTGCTTGCTTTGGGTAGGTTCTTATGGTAGAGAAACTTACTTTTTTTTCAGACTTTTCTCTATTTTCTAACTTGCAGTTAGAGCTATAAATTTCTCTCTCAGCAGTGCTTTCCCTGTATTCTACAGATTTCATTATACTGTAATTTTATTTTCATTCTATTCCTTGTATTTCCCTTTGATCTTGAATTTTTTAGAAGTATCTTGTTTAGTTTCCAGGTATAAGGAAGTTTTTGTGGTATGTTTCTGTTATTCTAGTTTGAGTTCATTGTGGTGAGAGAACATACTTGTGTTATTTAAATATTTAAAAATTTGTTGAGGTTTCCATTAGATGCCTCAGGATACGATCCATCTTGGTGTATGTTCCATAGGTGCTTGAAAAGAATGTGTGCCCTGGTGTTGAGTGTTCTATAGACAATGATTGGATCCAGATGGTTTATGGTGTTGTTGCATTTCTCTGTAAGTTTGCTGTTTTTCTGTCTAGTTCTGTTAGTTATTGAAAGAGGAGAAGAGGTGAAGTCTTCAACTGAAATTGTGAATTTGTATGTTTTCCTGTTCAGTTCCATCAGCTTTTGCTTTGCATGTTTTGTAGGCCTGCTATTTGGTGTATACACATTTATGATTGCTTTGTCTTCTTGGAGTGAACCTTTTATTAAAATGCAATATTACTCTCTGTCCCTGGTAGTTTCCTTTGCTCTGAAGTCTACTTTATCTGATATTAATATCACCACTGCTGCTTTATTTTTCTTAATGTTTGTACAACATATCTTTTGCTGTTCTTTTACTTTAAATTTTCCACACGTATATTTGAAGAGAGTTTCTTATAGCAAACATTTGGATCATGTTTTTAAATCCACTCTGTTAAACTCTTTTTATTGGTATATTTACACCATTTACACTTAATGTAATTATTGATAGTGTTTAAATCTATTTTATAGTTTTTATTTTTTTTTCCTTTTTGTCTTGTAGGTTGCTTGAACATTATTTTAGAATTCTAGTTTGATTTATGTATATAATGTATTTCTTTGTATAGCTCTTTTTGTGGGTCCTGTAGGTATTACATTATATATAGTTGACCCTTGAACAATGTGGGGGATTACGGGTGTTGACCACCCACATTGTCAAAAATGCATACGTAACATAAGTTGGACCACTGCATGCACAGGTTCCCAGCCGTCAGGTGACAGTGAACAATGCTGGTTTGAACTGTGCAGATCAATTGGAAAAAAAAATGCGTGTAAGTGGACTCATGCAATTCAAACCCGTGTTGTTCAAGGTGTCATATATATATAAAAAGGAATAGTTGACCTAATTGTATTTTTTTGTTATAGGATCCTTTGACTTCTTGTCTAGTTACCTTTAAACTGCTTGTATTGTCTTCATTACCATCATAGTTTTCAAGAACTTTGTGCCCATATGCCTAGACAAGTATATGCCTAGGCGGATACTTTGGTATTGCACATGGAAGTGGGTTGATGCAGGGCATTCCCTCTAAAGAACCATGTCTAAATTAGTAAATCATGCCTTTTTTAATACAGGTAAATATTTGCTAAATATTAAATATTTCAGTTTATTTGGGCTAAAATGGCAGGTGGCCATGGCTTAATAGATTTAATATTAGTTGCTGTAACTTCTGCTTTTTTGAGGCAGCTTTAAAATAATTTTTTTATTTATGTGTTTTGAAAGTACCATATTTTGGTTAAAAAAAAATTACAGAATTGGGTTTCCCTTTACAACCCTAGAGCAGTTAATCCATATTGCTGTTGTCACTGGTATGCTCTAGCTTCAGTGGTTTAACTTTGGTCCTGTAATCAGAGGGCCTGTTGTTACTGTCTATACAAGATTGTATATTGTTGAAGTGTAGGATCTTTGGGTTTCCAATTTTATGTTAACTGTAGTTATATCATTTTAGTCATTTGTAAGGCAAAACTTTTTTTTTCCCCCTCAGCACTCTTGCATTATAAGCAGTATTTGTGGGAAAAAAATACAGTATCCACTGCTTTCCGAAAGTTTGCTTTATGCCACTTCACTTCTATGAAAGACCTTCCTGTTTTAGCTAACAGAGAGAAATCTGAAGTGGAATTTCCCTTTTATGAAAAAACCCATTACCATACCAATGTGGGTATTTTGCTTTCTGTATTGCACATTTGTAGCACAATGCGAACTTTCTGAAAGCAGGGGATCCTTTTCAGTTTATTTATGCCAATTTAGCTTATGAAGGTTTTCATAGGAACACTCTGCTTTCAGATGCTGGGGAAACATACTCACTGAGAATGCAAATTTTATTTTCAATATCATGGTTTAAAATTAAACTTTTTTTCCCCTTCAGGGTGACAAAAAGAGTAGTCCCCAGAAAGAAGTTAAGTATGAACCTTTTTCTTTTGCTGATGGTAAGTGAAATCTTCATTTCAGTTGAGGTATTGTGTGTATGTGTTTTAAGTTAAAATTACTGTCTTGGCACATTTTTTTAGATATTATGCTTTTAAAAAAAAGGTTTCTTGAAACTATAATTGATCTCAGTGTGACATACAGTAAAAAAAATTGATCTTTTTAGCATAAAGTTCTATGAATGATATCATTTCTTAAAACATCTTTCATGCAGCCTTAACTTTGGACCGTAGTATCTTACTGGATTCTAATAATAGATCAATGGCTTCTCTGGGCTAAACTTCAAAATTGTTCTTACTTTTTACCTGGCTATGGAAAGCACATGTCTGTTTGTCTAATATTACTGGATTTATATCTTTCTTTAGACATTGGCTCCAATAATTGTGGATACTATGATTTACAAGCAGTGCTGACACATCAGGGAAGGTCTAGCTCTTCAGGTCATTATGTATCATGGGTGAAAAGGAAACAAGGTAAAGATTTTTTTTTTTCAATTGTTACATAGTTTCAACTTAGTTTAATATAAATTTTATAACACAGTGGTTCTTGGACTTTTTGGTCTCAGAACCCCTTTACGGTCTTAATTATTGAGGACCTTTCCAAAGAGCTTTTGTTTATGAGGGTTAATTATTTACCATACTAGAAATTAAAACAGAAAAGTGAATTCATTTAAAAATGACATAAATAACATTTTAAAGATAAAAATAACTTTTTCAAGACAGAAAAAAGTTAGCAAGAAATGGTGTTGACTGACATTTTTGTAAGTCGTCTTGTCTGGCTTTATAGGAGACAGGAAGAGTCTCCTAATTGTTTCTATATTCCGTCTGTTGTTTTATCACACATTATGTAGCTTCTGGAAAATTCCAAAGCACACTTGAGAGCATGAGGGGGAAAGGCATGTAATGCTTTAGTAGTGTTATGAAAATAGTTGTAACCTTCATAGAACTTCTGAAATGGTCTTAAACCTGAGTAGTCCTGGATCATGCTTTGAGAACTGTTGATATGGTGGAATACTGCTGTACATAAAATTAGTACCTTTTTTGAAATGGAACTCTGAAAAAATCGTGTATGATTTTAATTTCATTTTCCTCTCTCATTCTCTAGATGAATGGATTAAGTTTGATGATGATAAGGTCAGCATTGTGACACCAGAAGATATTTTGCGGCTTTCTGGAGGTGGAGACTGGCATATAGCTTACGTTTTACTCTACGGGCCTCGCAGAGTTGAAATAATGGAAGAGGAAAGTGAACAGTAATCTTCATTTCTGCTATTTATACTTAGGTGTGAAATAAATGTTGTTGATCATTTCTATAATCCAGAGCTTTAGAGGAAGATATGTAAGTGGTTTTATTTCCCCTTATATGAAACAAAGAGGGCAGGAGCAGACCACTCTGTTTATCAACCTAAAAATTACAGAAAAAAATTGCCTTTGGAATGTGCTGCCCTGTATAAAGGTGGCAGAAAGATATTTTTAAAAAGCTTGTTTCTTCCATTAATTTTTAAAAATTCTGAGTTGATTAAAATGCCTTTCAACCATTACCTTCTGTGATAATTTTCCCTGCCTTTTTCAGCTCAAGATTCAGCCATGAAATGTTTATTGCACACCTGTTACTGTTGTTTGTTGTTCTTGCATGGTTCAAACCACAAGTAATTCAGTAGCTGTCCATCCTTTGCCTTATCTAACAAATTTTGCCAGGAAGGTGGAAAGGAAGTGTTGCTCTCATTGTATCTCAGTGCTGCTGTCCATATCCCATGGAAACATGGATACAATCAAGTATTTGTCCAGCCTGGTTGTTGCTGGCTTTTCATGACTTTAAAATAAATTGTGATCAATAGTACATTTGATTATACATTTATTACTGTGTCTCTGATGTACTATGGTTTGTATGTTTAACTTTGCAATGGTTTTGTAGTAATCAACCTTAAAAAATGGTGACAGGCTCTGGCTGCTTATTTTTAGAAAATGGGGATATTTAATTAAAAAAAGGGATTAAGTTTTTTTTTTTTTTACCTCGTCTTTTGTCTGTTAAGTTGGCTGAAATTCTGACATTAATCCTGATGGTTAGTTTCTCTGCTGTTAAAGCATCCATTTAAAAACATGATCTTTTTCCTGCTAGTATTCTGTTATTTAAAAAGAAATACAAAGTTGTAAGAGCAGTGGCATTCTTTGGATGCAGAATGCAGTGATGTTGTCAGTCAGATCTGTTCCTTGCCTCTGTTGTTTATTTTTATACTTCTGTCAGTTCCCAAAATCTTCATGTGTGTTTCACTAATATCAGTAATTTTTAAAGTGGAGGTAGCAATACCAAGATTATGAAGTATTTCAGTATCGTAGGTTTAATATATTCTAACTAGTTTGTCTTTTTTTAGGAAGTTTGTCAGAAATATGATAGACTATTACCTCATTGGTCTCCAATTCTTTTTTTTGAGTTGGGTATTTATAATTGTTTTGGGGATTATCATGAAATCTCATCTTTGCTTATGATGTTTTAACGCTCTGCAGAGCACAGCACTGATAACTAGTAGATTCCTAGAGAATAATGGCCATTGTGGTATAATCCGAGAACACTACGGGGTATAAAATAAACATTTAAGGGAAACAATTGTAAATAGCTTTTTCAGCTAATCTTTAATTTTTGCAATCATTACTCCCTTTGCTTTGGGGGAGGGTGCAGAATAGAATGGGGAAAATGAGACTAAGAATTGTGATGTTTCTTTATATATTAGTAAGATGCTTGTAACTTTGCAGTTTTTTTTTTTTAAATTCAGTCTTATTTGGCCTGAAAAAATCTGATGACCTAATTGAGCAATTAAAATTTAGGTTTTCTGATTTGCAGGATGCTGTAGCTAATAGAAATCAGGTGAAGTAGGTTTAGAGCAGTATGTAAGCCTTGTATGGAATTGTGACATTGTAATTCCTTGTCATCATTATAAAAAACTTGATTTCATTTTATCTGATCCAAAAAAGCATTATTCCAAAGATATTTTAAGTATAACAAATTGGACTTGTACCAGTGTTGTTTTAAACTAATAAGGCTGTTTTAGAATTCAGCCTTGCATATAAGGTCTTTGAGAGCAGGCAAGAAAATGTCTTCACTCCCAAGTGTGCCTCATATGCTGTGCCACTAGCACTGAGGCCCTTTTGATATTAGAGCTATGCTGTATCCTGTGGGACTTGCTGGTGAAATTAAGCCCAAGCAAGAACAATTACAGTCTAACATGCATTTAAGAAACAATGATAACCTAATTTTAGACCCCAAAAGGGTAATAATTATATGTGAACAGGAAAAGTAGATGCTTCTGTCTCCAACCATTACTACACAGTAGTTTGCTTTTTATAGGGTGCTTTCGCTAACATCTTTTGGACTTCACAATAATCCCTGAGGTATGCATCCCTATTTTAACGACTTGAGAGATTAAGTAATTTTTGTAAGGCTAGAAGAACTAGGTTTTAGACTTCACCCCATTTCTTTTAAAGTTGTGGGTCAGCAAACATTTTCTGTGGTTGGCCAGATAGTGTTTTAAGCTTTGCATGCTGTAACATCCTTGTTGCAACTACTTTGCAGTTTTATCAGGAAAGAAGCCATAGGTAATACCTAAAAAATCAGCACGATGGTGTGTTGATGAAATTTTACCTATAAAACCAGGTGGTGAATGGACCATTGCTTGCTGATCCTCTGCTTTAAAGTATGAGTGAGACTAGAGCAGTCATACGGTTTCAGGAAGTCTTATTCTCCAGTTTTCAGAATAGCAGGTTAAATTTTACAACTACTTATGGCATGCAGAAACTTAATTTTCATAGTGTATTTTAGGAAACACCATGCCCCTAAATATCTCTTACTGACTTCATTATGAATACATTTAATTTATTTAACAAAAATATATGACGACCTTGATTGAGGTCACAATTTTGGCCATTTTTCCAGTCTACTCTGCCCTCCTTCCAAAACCCTGAGGTCAGTTATCAAGAGCCAATATGTGTTCTGTTGTTCTTGGAGCACCAGCCAACTGTACAACAACTGTTATAAAAATGTTTATTGTTTACCAAAACCAGTGGACCTCTTATCAAATGCTGCTTGGTAACAAAATCTTATCACAGTTTTAATAAAAAAAAATAAGCTAACTATTTGTCTCATTGTCATTAGTTAGACTCTCTACAAGGTCACTTAATCCAGACTTATTCAGTGCATTAATCAGATTCTCGGGCGTTGCATGTACTCCTTCTTGATCTTGCCAGGCAACTAGTAGCTGCCTAGCTCTCATTTTCATGTCTTCGCTGTCACACTCAATCTGTCTAATTTCCGAGTCTTTCATTTCCAAGTAGGGAGCCAGAATTTTCCATTGTTCACCCAATTTGTTGGCAAATATCTCTATTTGTTCCCCTGTTACAGGTTTGTCTCTGCGAACATCAGGGCCTAGAAAACACAGGAAATGTAAATTATGTATAAAGTATGAGGAGATGTACAATTTAAAGCATATAACAGAAATGGGAAGATAGGGGGCCAGTGATATATTAATCCCCTTTAATATACTTTATTTTAAAAGTAAAACAATTCCTCTTTATATTTGCCATGGATTGTATACTGTTCTTACAATCATGATCATTAGGAAATCAGTAATCAAAGCTAAAGCTGTTGCCTCTATAATTATGTTCCCTCTGAAACAAGCTGTCCCCTTCTACTCCCCACAAGAATTAACCTTCAAATGTAAAGTACCTTTTCATCACTTCCAAATTTTATTGTATAAAATGTAATATTTTAAGTTATTGTCAAGCAGTGTTTTAAACTCCTCAGTAAAGAAACAGCTGAGATATACTTTTAGAAGTTGAGAAGTAGATCAAATTAAATAACGTACCTCTCAACAAAGAACCACAATCTTTTCCAATTTTGTAAAATAGCCAAGAAAATTCAATTCTTACTTTCATTTTCCTTCAGTAAAGCATCATTATCTTCCTCATCTTCATCCTCACCTGTTTTTATTTCTTCAGAAGGAGGCTAAAATGAGTAAGAAGACTGTTGAAAAGAATGCCAACTTTTAAAATAACTGGGAATAAAATTTTAAGTGTGACTGCCATTCCAAGTATTGGGCCCAGAATTTCACCCCCGAGAGTGTTAAATGTGAATGCCAGGTAAGCATCACAATTGAGACAGTGATAATCTGAAGGAGTAGATGGGGAAAACCTGAAAGTTGGAAAGACTCCCTTCGCCTCTGCAATCTGGGAAAAAGGGAGCCAGTGAAAAGGATGGTAAAACAATTTTCAAATCCCTAGCATATAGTAACAATAGAAACAATGCTCTAGGGAAGACAGGAGTTGAGCAACTGTGTCCTTAAATTTTTTGAGTGACTTTATTTTATTTTGAGTGAGTTTTTATGTACAGTTAGTACTATAACTGTAGTAATAAAATGAGAAAAAAGCAAAGAAAGGGCAAGTAGCTTACTGCTACCCTTTGTTAAAAGACAATATAATGCACCAATAAACAAGTAAAATAACGGTTTACCCAAAAGTATTGTAGACTTACATTAAGTTACATGTTGTATAAAAAAGTTAATCAGTTTATGTACTTCCTATAAAATGTATCCTCAAATGCATTTTTCCTCATTCTAAAACATGGGAGTTTGGATTTTTTTCATAGGATTGACTCTAAATTCCGCTCTTTGCTCGAATAACGGTAGTTTAAAGAAGATATCAACTAAAGGATATTAAAAAATTGATCTATAGTACTTACTGGTAATTCCTTGGCTAGCTTTATTACCATGTTTTCAAGATATTCTGGCAGACTTTTGAACTGCTGGTTGGTTGGCTGGAAGAAGTGAGGGCTTCTCCGGGCTAATAGTCTCAGGGCTCTCCAACCATAGTTTGAATTGTTCACAGCCCTATAAAAAGAGATGTTGGTCTTACAATTTATAGTTTTTTATTTCTCTGCTCCCTTCTAGTTAATGTGATTCACCATGTGAAATTCTATAAGTAGCCTCAGTCCATTCTTTTCATTTTGGTCGTATTCCTAAAGAATCTGTGTGCAGTTCACTTATAATAGAAACCAAGAGTCTGAAGAAGCATTTTAAAAGTTTATATGTATTTTACTTAATTTTAAAGTCAATTAGTATGTGTCCAGTACTGGCTAGATGCTATATATGCAGGACTGAAATCATCTACTTAGTTATTTAGGGGGAAAAAAATGAGTTCATAATAGGTTCACCATGTTTAAGGGAGTCGATACCCATCCTGGCAATGTCACCTACAGGTGGAAGTTCCAGGCTATAAGCTCAACAGAGTTTCAGTCATGTTAATTTCATCAGTATTTAGTTTCCTATTTACGTAATGCCAAAACTTTAATTTGCTCAGTCCAATCTCAATGAATAAAAATGGCTCCAAAACTACAAGAGCTCACCAATAGCCAACAGAGTAAAGCAGTGATGCCAAGAACAGAGTCCATGAACTGTTCCCTAATGAAGCAAAGCAATGAGAGGTGGGACCTAGTAGGGCGAGAAATGGAAGCCTCAGGGAAATTATATAGTTCCTGAAACAGGCAAGCTGGAGAAGAATCCAGGGCACAGGTTTCTTTTGATTTACGAGTTTTTGCAAGTCATTTGGAAATTCCTCCTCCCCCAAGTTGTTCAGTTAGCAACCTTATTTATTTAGAGCTTCATTACCTTTGGGATATGCTGGCATCTGCAAAACTACCCTTAGACAGTGGGGGCCTTACCAAGGTAACACCATGCTAAGAGGCTTTTCCTAAATGGTTATGAGCATTTCTGATGCACTTCTGTTTAAACAATTTGAATCTTTTAAGCATTTTATTCCCTATCAATTATATATATAAACTTTCTTATTCTTCATAGATCCATACCATCCAAGTTCTTAAACTAATCTTAGAGGACTATCACTTTAAAGAAAAATCTACCTAATCTTACCTAGCAATAAAAAAGCAATATTCCTTCAACAAATGCTTGTTGAGCTGGGCATTCAGGAGTCGAGGAGACAGGAAGTTCACCCTGAACACCCGAGGTGCTACAGCGCTGCTTCGAGCAGGGCCCCAAGGCCAGTGTCACCTTCCTGGCTCTGCCACTGACTAGCTGAGAACATCAGTAAATTACTCCCACCTTGTGCCTTAATTTCCTTAACCGCACAATGGAGATAAGAACAGTTTCTACCTTAGAATTATATAAGGTAAGTGCTTAAGAAGTAACTGACATGGTAAATGTGGAATTTGTTGCTAAGCATCATTACTACTAACACACAAGGTACTAGACAATTTCAGATAGGAGTAACGAGAGAAACACGAGAATTTCAGACACAACAGGGTTGCGTTACAGAGGGAAACGGTGAAGAGCTTGGTCAGGGAAAACTCAGTATTGAAGATGAGAGTTGAAGTGAGAGCAAGCCAGGGATTGCCATGAAGGAAGTTTCATGCAAGCAAACAAATACAAAGGTCCTGAGGTAGCAATGCCTTTTGAGTTGAACAGAAACAGGGCTGGTCTGGGTAGAGCAGACAGAAAAGCAAAGAGAAGATGTGATTGGAGAGGTAGCTAGGTGTGAACCAGATAAAGGAGGTCTTTCACACATCAGTAAGGGGGTTGGATTTCATCTTAATTTTAATAAGCAATAATAACTGGGAGATTTTAAGCAGAAGATCTGACTTGTGGATTTAAAGATCACTGGCTGATGTATGAGGAATTGACCAGACCGATCAAAGCACTCTTTTTTTGCAGTGCTGACTACAAGTGCACATTTCAAAGTATGTAAATCATCTTAATCCTCAGAACTCTGTGAAATGGGTACTGTTCCTATTTCACAGATGAGCAAACAAGCAGAGGGGTTAAATTAGCCTTAGTAGCCTAACCAGTAAAGTAGTAGAGAGTCCTAGGACTGGAACCTAAGCAGCCTGACAAGAGGGCCCTTGTCCTTAAGTCATACCACCATAAGCCTGTTCAAAACCATGTCACTGATAAATTTAGTTGAAGAACCGGAGACAGTCCTGAAGTCACTCCATAATTCTAGAGTTTAGGCATAGGATTGGGAAGCCTGGAAAGGAGACTGAGAAGCAGTGAGACAAAAGGAAAAATGTGGGAGCTATAGTTTTATGGATGTCAAAAGAAGGAAATATTATCTAACGGAGAGATCAACCAAAAAGAGGTGACCTTGACCTCTGACACGCTAGCAGGAATGGGTTGAGGAAAATGGAAGGTAAGGAACAGAGGTCAACAGTTACCAACTGTTGGGAGATACGGGCATACCTCGAAGATGTTGCAAAAAGTGAGTATGTGAATAAAGTGAGTTGTAATTTTAAAAAGCCTGCCACTTGTCAAGTGTAATAAGAGTGAAGGGCAATAAAACAAGGTATGCCTATACTGTGATTTGAAAGGGAACAGTGAGAAAAAGTGATTGTTGGGAGATGTAGGCTCAACGGAATTTTTCTTATTTTTTTGAAACAAGCACGATTTTAAATCCTGCTTGGTAAATCAATGGGAATGGTCATTGAAATCAGATATGTAATAATATAAACTTGGTATGTAAACTCATCCAAGAGGAGGAGTACTATTCTATCAAACATCTCCCTTAATAAGCAATCTAGTTATACATAAAATTCCTAAGAAAAAAATGTTGGAGAAAATTAGCTAATGAGGTAACATACTTACTTATATTCATTTTCAACCATGCTTTCAGGGTCTGCCTGTTCAATGGCTTCTTCAAAGAATTCCTCCAAAGTTGGCATATATTCCCTAGATGTTAAAAAAATAGCTACTGAGGATCATGTGTTCTTGATAAATACTCATAAACTGGTGGCAGGCAATCAAAGAGTCTCATGTTACCCACACCTGACTTAAAAGATTACTTAGGAGCTCATATATTTAAGGAAGTGAATGACTCAAAACAAATTAAACTTCTCAAAGGGGAACACAAGGAGGGGGCAGTGTGGTACTCCAATGATTATCTACTATGTACTATGTAATGTAACATCCTGTATTATACACTGTAATGTATCATGTTACCAGTCACAGAGGGCAGCTTACTAGCATTTGAATTTCTCCAGCAAGCTGGAAAATTTCATGTTATATCCCCATTCATAA